ATCAGCCGGCCTGTCAACCTGGGCCTGACGCTGGTATCGTCAACATTTTTGCAATTTTTGCAAGGCAGGTTGTGCCTCGGCAGGGATCGAACTCGTGGCTCAGTGAGATTATGAGTCTACACTCTCAACCACTCGGCTATCCCTGCCTACATCGTAAGTGTCACTGAGTAGATACTTTATATGTCCCCGTTGGCGCGGTGCGCTCTTTCATCCCTTATTTCAAGTACCGCCATCGGTACAGTTGATGAGCACCGCCCACATTCGTCTGCATAGCCTACATTTCACTGCATTTAGGTCGGTTATGCGGTTACGAGCACGTCGCAATAAATATTTACACGTGCGAGTACTCTCATTGGTAAGACACCAAACAAGGCCAACGCGTTCTGATACATTTCTGCCAAATACACCCCCCCCCCTCTAAAAAAGGTCTCGATACGACTCCTCCCATCGTCCGCTGCTAATTCGATAGCAGCGGACCAGATTAGCAGCGGACAAACAAACACTGAAAAAAATGGAAGTCTACGAAAATAAACGACAAAGGACGCGACGTCAATCAAGGATATGTGAGAAACCCGATGAGAGTGAGCCATAATAAATCGTAAATAAATTGACAAAAGGACTAATATAAATGAAGCATAAAAGGACACAAGAAAAGAAAGAAAATGCGGGAAAATGCAAGTGTCAGCACAGGACTACTAGTTGTTCGCACTCATTCAAAGGTGAGCGCGCTTCGCGCCGTGATAGTGGAGCGAGCTATTTCACGGTTCAAATTCATTCCTAAGACGAGCACTCCTGAAGTACCCTTTGCTTGAACACCCATAGCTTCTTTGAGAGTGGAGCTTTTGGAGAGGGGAAGCGGGGCTGTGGAGCACTGGGTTGACACTTATTACCTAAGTTTGAGCGACTTCAGAAAAAAATATCTTTTCAAGTAACTTTCTTCTTTGTGATCCCGTTGCTACATATTGGAACCCATTTGCATGCACTAGCGCTTTGATTTGCATGCACTAGCGCTTAGATTTGTCTGGGAGGATAAAACACTGACTTGTACATCGGGCATCCCACAAAGGGATTGATCAACGGCGAAGACATTATCCTTTCATAGGGCAGCATTCAAACTTCGCGACAGCAGTGACGATCGCCTCGATCGTCGGTACGCGTCACAACGTGCCCCAACGCTATTATTTGGACCGCTCGCTTTGATAAATGAGGAAACCCTATGTGCAATACCTTTTCGTCTTAACAATGGCTGCTAGCTGGAAACTGAGGACTTTCTCTACCTAAAAGGATCTGAAACATAAGGAAGAAGATGTTTTCACCTCTTGTTTAGGCAGGGATAAGTGCAACTTCATTCGCTAGGTGAGCTCCTCTTTGTTTCTCTTGTTTTCCTTGTTTCAATGTATGTAGGTGACTTGAAACTTTCCTACTGGCCAAACTGTTCAACTTCCAAAACATTCATAGTTTACAAGTCGAGTTCAAACAACTACAAAAAAACAGAAAGGAACTCACCTAGGAATCAAAACACTAATTCTTTTTAAGCAACATTGAACAGCACATCGGGCATGGGCCAGAACCAGAGCTCCGCCAGACGGGGCGGTGTGCCCGATCACACCGCTGGGCAGAGTGCAAGCACCTTACCAGCGTGCGGAGTCATGGCGGCAGAGTGGGTGCCCGGCGATCCTCTCCTCCCAAAGGAAAGAAGCGATGCCTACTGGCTCTGGCAGCCATGATATAGGCTCCAGTGGAGGTATGGCAATAACGCGGCCTGCGCCAGACGCGTCGTGATTGGCTGTGTAGCGTGCTAGAGCCCAGGCGCACGACGCCCGGCAACCGTTGTCTCGATTCGTGACAGTAGGCGTCCTCCCTTCAACGAGTTTGTTTCTGACTATGAGACTATCCCCTTTCCGCGGTTTCACAGTAAGTAACGAAGGCGCTGTGGCTCTCATAAGTAGCGTTCTGACGCCTCCCTAGTTGCACTACCCACAAGAATTCAAAGGTCATTTTCTGTCACAAGTTCTACTACGAAACGATCTGCGTGCGGAAGGCGGCAGGACACAGTTTTCATCTGGCATAAAATGAGCAGGTCAGGTGAACTCGTTCTGAGAGGCTGTCAGGTCCATGCTTGAAGTTGCTGTCCTCATTTTTCTTACTTTTTTCCTCCCCCGGAGGGTCATTTGGCATCGCGGGGTATGTATTTTACCTCACAAGTGGTGGTTAACTAATCAAAATTACGGTTGAGTCGTTGTCTTAGTAAGATCGCTGTTCAGCGCCGCAGTCCGTGCTTGGAATGTTGGACAAGAATGCTGAGATACGAAAGGGTGTTGGACGTGGGACGTTACTCGAACGCCAGACGGCCTCGAGTCCCGTCCCGGGTACGACTCTTGAGCAAATCACAGCGTCCTTGACGACAATAACTCATGGGTAAATCGAAACTCCATACTACAGCCGGTTTTGCCCTTTCATGGTCCATTTCCTAGAGCTTACTAAGTTTTTGTTCGAAGGGCTTAACAAAAGCTCCTCTATATCTCTCCCCAAGAAGGGTCAGCCTCCGCAGCTCTCAGACTTCGCGATGACGCGCTGTGACGCGCGTCAGCGCCTGATGTCGTTCCGCGGCGGCTGCTAGTGTCTTTAGAGAATATGAAAATTGGGAGAATATCGAGCCGTGTGATTAGACAACGCGTGCTCTCGTTTCCTCTCATCCTTCAAAATAGTGGCAGGCGGCGCCCATCCATACCCATGTAAGGCTGCGTTATACAATGCTGGGGTGCGGCACAGGGCTCATCATTGGTTGGGGATTTTGGTGAAGCCCGTGCGATCCCCTTTTTGGGGGTTCGGTACGACCTCCCCCCTATAGATTAACCTATGAAGTTTCTTCCCCCCCCCCGCCCCGAGGAGGAAGAAACTTCATAAGTTTATATACAAGTAAGTGCGAAAAATGGAAAAATTAACAATCCTTAACGAGGCCCTCCTCGCTTTTTGCTCATTTCTATTCTGAATCAAATAAGAAAATAGAAAAAAAGGCCTTTAGGTTTCATCCACCTTTCCTCCAGTACCTGAGTCAATTGCAATTAAAAGAAGAAAAGCAGGAAATTAAGCCAATTCCTCCTGAAAGCACTCGGAGCGACCCAAGTATTAGGTTGTCCGGGAAGTTCTCAGCGTTTTGTGCACCTATATTTGTACATTCACTGCTGATTGAAAACTCATTCTGCCTTGCTTCTCAGTAGCACATCCTGTAGAGAATTTCTTGCGCTATCTGATGGTATAATTGCCGTTTCACCATTGCTTGATAAACCCCCTTTTTTCAAGATTTTCTCAAGCATGTGAGAAGAGCACTTCGGACAATTTTTTTCTTCGACTATAAATTTGGGCAATCCGCAATCGAAACAGCTCAACAAATTAACCAGGTGTGGGGGCCCCAATAGTGCTAGAGAAAGCACTGTGCGGCAATGGCTCAACAAATTTCGTTCTGGAGATTTCAGCCTTGAAGATGAACCTCATAGCAGTCGACCTAAAGCAATATCTGACGAGGATTTTAGGGGGATTTTGGAGGCTGACCCATCCCGAACACTTCGAGAGATAGCAGATGAGCTAGGCCTTGGCAAATCCACTGTTGCAGATGGTCTCGAACGCATTGGGAAGGTGAAAAAACTCGACAACTGGGTGCCCCACAATCGGAGTGACCGGCAGGAATCGGCACGTCTCGAGGTTTCTTCTGCATTGCTTTTGCGCAGCAGAAACGTCCTGTTTTGGGACGAATTTTCACCTGTGATGAAAAATGGGTCATGTTTGATCAAAGGAGACGTTCCGGCCAGTGGGGCCTTGGATTTCGAGGAACCACCGAGGTAATTTTCAAAGCCGAACCCTCACGAAAAAAAGATTCTAGGCACAGTTTGGTGGTCATCGGCTGGTGTGATCCACTATAACTTTTCATCACCAGGCGAAATCATTACAGCAGAACCCTACTGTGAAGGAATCTACGAAATGTACCGAAAATTTTGTCAGCTGCAGCCAACACTTGTCAACAGAAAGGGTCCGATTCTTTTGCATGACAACGCCCGCCCACAGGTTTTACAAATCAATATCCATAAATTGAACGAATTGGAGGTCGAAGTTCTACCTCAACTGCCATATTCTTCAGACCTTTCGCCAATCGACTATCACCTTTTCTAACATTTTCAGAACTCCCTTGCTGGAAAATACTTCATCGATCAGGACCAGGCAAAAAAGCCTTCGTGGATTCCGTGAACTCTTGACCACCCTGTTTTTGCTTTGATGGGATTTCCTGACTGCTGTCACACTGGCAAAAGTGTGCTGATTCGAATGGTGCCTATTTCGATTAAATCCGATGAGTATTAAAAAGTTACGATCGTTTAAAGTGAAACACCCAAAACGCTGAGAACTTTCCGAACAACCTAATAATAGTCTTGGGCGCGCTCTAACGTGTACCGACGATCGCGGCGATCGCCATGGCTGTCGCGAAGTGTGAACGCTGCCTAACCTCCCAATAGTTCCACTGAAAATGGCAAAAGCCATTCGAACTGTCAGACAATCACTGTTTCAGTCAGCCCCTTCCTTTGTTACAGCTAATATGCTGTCAACAACATAACCCAGGAGGGATCGAGTGTTCAGGCGGTCTAGATCTGATCTCTGAATCATGCACGTGAAAGCAGCGACTCTGTCAATAAAATCACCACCTTGTACGCTCCAAAAGTCCATTAAGTAGACATACACTCAAAGAATGGATAGTTTACTACATAGATAAATGTCTACGTAATTGCCGTCAACAAGACACGAAGAGTTGGCGCCAACAGTAGAGGTCGTTTTATGAACATAACATTTACTAGCGAAACTTTTCTTCTGGCATGATGTTGGACAGGCAATAGAGATCAGAGCGCATACCGATTTCTGGTTATATGAGATGAAAGTGGGCGAGATATTTCAGAAAAATAGGGGAGAGTTCTTGGTGTATATAAAGAATATTTGATTTTCGTGAGAAAACGCCGTCACTGTGCAGGTGGAACTGTGGGATCAGTTGCAGGTTGTGTTGGAGCAGCCGCTGCCTGAAATTAGACTTCATTTCCAAGCTATGACCGAAACACTCATTGTCAGTCAACTGTCAACATACCGGATCGTGGTCGTGACTAGCTCCTGGGATGATTTTTCCTATTGCCTGCTGCGCTTGAGATGCGTATCCTTTCGTTGTTTCTGCTGAAATAAACATTCATACTATCATCAAGGCATGTTTTTGCTTTGATTTCACCCCCTTCCAAACTAAAATCACCAATTTTCAAATCAACCCATCAGTTTTCAGCCCGAAACCATCTTTTTTTTTCAAATCAAAATCACCACACTTTTCGGTTGGGCAGTCCACCGCAAGGCCCGCCTCGACGGCCAGGCCTAATCTTCAGCGCTATCATAAATCAGACCTTGTTTTATGTTTACTGTTTTTATAACTTTTTTGACTTTTCTGTTTTGTTCACAGACACATCACGAAAAGAGTTGACACACTGACGCATAAGCGCTAAATACTTAAGGAATTTATTGCAGATTTCGGATTTTCATACCTTCTTTCAACTTCGCTCTTTTGCACGCGCTCTTCACACAACCAAAGTGCTACTCATGGAGGCGCATTTACGCACCGATACACTGAACTCAGCCTCTTCGAACATGCCTTCTTCCGCCTCTTTGTAGAAAATTTTCCCTTTTCCAAATTTTTCACATTTCTGGACTGCCACCACTAGAAGTTCCGCTCACTTTGCGGGAGCCCCGCTCACATCCGGAAAATAAAGCAAATCGATAGGCTAGAGTCTCAATTGGCACGTTCGTCACTCGGAACCTTGCCAACATTTTGACTGATTTTTTTCTGTTAAGAGCGGCACAAGAATAGTTGGAGATTTTATAACAATTCTTCAGAAAAGCTCACCCGCCGTGGAAAGCACATCTTTCGTTTTGTCGAAAATCGAGTTTAATGCGTTCTTCTGAAAATGTTGTTTGTCAGATTCGATGAACAAAAATAGACAAATTTTTTTTCCTATATATTTGTTTGTTTGGTTATTTATTTACTTATCCGATCGCGCTAATATACTCGAAATCCCTGAGATCGGGTAGGCGTGGCCGCATGTTTCAGCTTGACCTTAAGGTGTCTATGCTTCCAGTGAGATATTTTCATCTTGGCACAATTGTTATCGTGTCTCTGTCCAACACAGAACAAGATGACAGTGGTCCGAGACTGGAATATTGCACGAGTAACCAGTTCCGTGCCATGTTCGAATGCACGCCTACTCTGGCTCAGGGATGAAGACTGTACACTCATGCGAAACTGTGATGTATCTAAGATGAGATAGCTCAAGAGAAAATCACTATACTATAGATGGGGTGCTCGTCAGCTCCTTCCAAAAGAAAATGTTCCTACTTTTGTACTTGCGATTTCCAATGGAAACCGTCTTTATTGTGTATTATGAGGCTATCTGTGCTGAACTTTTCATGTTTCTACGCCACTTCACTCAAAGCCCCTTTTCTCCGACAATTCAAGCAATCTTTCGACGACGATCCTTGATTCGAGCGAAATGAACAGGTCTGCAGCTGCAGTAGCGTGGCACATTCTCCGCTCAAGGTGCAAGGAAACGAGGTTGTAGGGTGATAGCACCGAGAGCCGTCTCCATATTTCGTCCGCGCAGTCCTCAAGAACAGCATTTTCGTCGATAGCAAGGTCTTATTGTTAGAGCGAAACACGCACTCAGCGGTAGAGAACGAGTGAGAGGGCGCAATAACTGGACGCGTTCCCATGGTTGAGCGTGCGTCTAACGGCGACGTCGCGCGACTTCCAAATCATGCAACTGCATCAGACGTGTCCCATAGCCTGCGACTGTTAACCCATTTGAAAGCGAGCCTTCTCGGAAGTTTAAAGACACATAGTACGCTCATACACATTAAGGTTGTATGAGACTATCAGCCCCCCAGATGTCGATGTGTCGTGGTCCCCCGCCCAAACATGCCCGGAATGGAGATACAGGGCGTGGAAACACGCTAATTCTTCCATGCTCCGCCCACTGCCTTTTTACGGCGCAGATTCCCGCCGTTCATAAACATCCGTTGCAAGCGCGCCTGTCGCGTGCGGCTCCTTGGCACTTTGCCAAGTCCTTTAATTGCGCTCTCAAATACAAGGAAAACGCAATTTCCTGATGCGGATAACATTGGAGGTGCTACAAAATAAGAGCAGAAGATGATGACAAGGGGCAGAACTCAAGAGCAACTCGGCTGCATCTGCAGTATCCATCAAGGGCGCGCATTCCCACAAAACATGGAAATAAAAACAGCCCAAGCGTCCCACTCGTTTGTTCTAAGTAGTTCTATGGCTTTGGCGCCGGATCGTAGAAATTTACAGGCCAGTTTATCTAATTTGCCTTTCCTTGATTTTTTCATTTTTGTTTTGTTTACATTTACATCGTTGTGCTTCATTTCTAGCCTGTGTCATCTTCATCTCCTTGTGATTTTGAAGCATGAGCAACACCTTAAATTTTATTCGCATCAGGAAATTGCGTCTTGCTTGTATTAAACTAACGGAGTATGCCGTTTTTAGTTTTTATTTTCATGTTTCGTGGAAATACGTGGCCTCCGAGGGATGTTGCAGAAGTGGCACAGTCGCTTTTAGACCCTCGTCATCATCTTCTGCTCTTTATTTTGTAGCACCTCCAATGTTATCCGCATCAGGAAATTGCGTTTTCCTTGTATTTGAGAGCGCAATTAAAGGACTTGGCAAAGTGCCAAGGAGCCGCACGCGACAGGCGCGCTTGCAACGGATGTTATGAACGGCGGGAATCTGCGCCGAAAAAGGCAGTGGGCGGAGCATGGAAGAATTAGCGTGTTTCACGGCCCTGTATCTCCATTTCCGGGCATGTTTGGGCGGGGGGGACCACGACGCTCTATCGACATCTGGGGGGCTGATAGTCTCATACACCCTCAATGTGTATGAGCGTACTATGTGTCTTTAAGCGGTCCAGCGACTAAAGGAGCGAGGAAGGCCTCAGCCGTGCAAATGAGTTGTTTGAGTAGCGAACAGTAAACTTTACCTAACACATCGACACCACCCACAGGGGGACATGCATGTTGACAAGATTACAAAGTTAGGATAGAAAAGCCCTGCCGTGCGTTGCCCCTCAGCCCTGTTCCCGTGTACTTTTGATCGAGGGGGAGTATAAATTCTGAATGGAATGGGAAACTTCGTCCATTTTTTACTTCAGAGGTGGTTTTCCCCACAGCTCGCTGTTTTCAAGTTTCCACCTCTATCTTCTTCGTTTCTGCTGGAACAAATGTACAGTTGCGAAAAAAAAAGTTGGAGCAAGCTACGAAATCGCGTTTTTTACAGCTCTGAAGCTCTTATTCGACAACAGTGCTGTGGAACGGTTCAACACTTTGAATTTGGTTTACTTTTTATTGGACTTGATTCGAGTCTCCATCACTCGTGGAATCGACTTTACAGGAACTTTAGAGGTATCCACGGATATTAGCCTCCGAATTCATTAAAATTCCTGGAACTGCTCTCTCGCGTTGGTGGTCTTCTTTAACTTGGCTCATGCTTCACATAATCTCAAATATGCCTGATGGAGTTGAACTGAAGGCTGCTACTTAGCCCTTTTGTCATCCAGATGCTGGCCTTGGGCGCCGCAACCGCGTACTCTCGAAATCCCTGAGATGCGGCTGCGTACTTCAATAAAACGTGGCGGTGGCTGAACTTTCTGCGAGATACTTTCATTTTGGCACAGCTGTGGTCATGTTTCTGCTCAACACACCACAAGATGACGGTTGTGCTAAACTAAAATATCCCACGAGTAGCCCAGTCCACGCTACGTTGAAATGCCACGCTATCTCTGTCTTAGGGATAAGGGGTATACTTCTGTGTTTGCTTAGGGTCGCTCCTACTGACTTGGAAACACTTATTCCATGCACACTTTGTCTATATCCTTAGTATTTCGGTAAGCTTGCTCCAAGTTTTTTTTTCCGCAGCTTCAGTAGCCTTGGTACTCTTTTCTAGCTCTCCCAAATCTCACGCTTATCTGATTGAGTGATAACAAAATAAAGATTTGAAATTAACTCCAGAATGTCCACAAGAAGCAAAAGGTCCTGATAAAAAACCTTCTTACTAGGGAAGGTCGTCAGGTCGAAGTGGCCATTTGTAATGTGTTGTAGCTCACTAGACGTGGTTTTAGACGCTGATCTCGAATCTGCTTTCGAAATTTGCAGAACGATTCTATGAACGGAGTTATGAAGGTTTGTTGGATTCAAAATGAAGGGAAACGGAGTCGAGCGCGGTTGCCAGTCACGCTTAAATAGCCGGGAATCACCTTCACGTCAAACGGCGGCATGGCGCAGTGGAAGTGGTCTTGCTTTGTAGGGATGCCCTGAAGGGTTCGGATTTCTGAAGGGAACTTGTTTTGCATTTTGTGGGGAAAGTCTCATTTAGGTCTAGAAAACACTCAAACGCCAAATGGGTGCCATATTCGTGTTCAGAGAGCAAAACTACCCTTGTAGACAAGTTTCTAGCCAGGAGTGAGGTTTTGACCTAACTATGAAAAGTGCGGCAGCAGTTGATCGAATGATGGTCACCAATAGTCCAGGGCCAGTCTCTTGTCAACTGCTTGTCTTTGGACGGAATTTGCTTTGAGATAGCAGGGAAGTGGAGCAGTAACACTATGAATGCGTAAGAAGTGGCAAGACCAGGCTTTGTGCAGGAGAATGTATCTGCAGCCGAATAGGTGTGAACATCAACTGAACTAACCCATGGATGCTTCACTTTTCGAAGTCAGGTCAAAATGCCAGATTTGGCTAGAAACCTCTGTGTAGGCGTGGTTCGCCCCCATAAACAAGAATATGGCACTGGCTCAGCGCGAAAACGCCTGCACTGCGTGCCAAGGGCACCTGTACATTCAAAAATTCTTCTAGATCATAAGGCACTAAGCGCGCCACTAAGTGAACGCAAACTGCTTTTCACGCAAGTAAACGAGAGCACTAATAAAGTAGTGACGCCACAACCACTTTTTGCCACGTTTGCGCAAGAAGCAAAAAAATTAAGCTCAGCAGGGATCCGATCCCACGACCTGCTGCGTGGTAAACGTGGTGGAAAAAGCTCCATAACTCCGTTCAGAGAATCGTTCTGCAAATTCGCACCAGCCCCAAGATTCGAGATCAGCCGTCCAAAACACGTCTAGTGAGCTACATCTCCTTACAAATGGCCACTTCGACCTGACGACCTTCCCTAGTTAGATCGTTCGAGTTTTTTGCGATAAGTTTGAAGTCCTTTTTTATTTGCAATATAACCAAACTTTTTCCCATTTCCTATGCGCGATATTCACCTTTAAAAGATCGTGCTTTACAGTATGGAATGTTTCTAGCCACCGTAAACTGTCTCCTGTTGAAGAGAGCCCCCGCGCTCAAGTAGTACATGGTCGTCCTTCCTTGAGCAGGTAGTTCAGCCCCCAAGCTAGATACTTTCTCACTCTCGCGACTCCTCAGCAAGCGAGAAGCGAGCTAGAACCGCTCAAAGTTCTAGTTCTAACGCCTGCTCAGTTGGACCGCCTCACTAGCTAGCTGCCCTCTGACGGAGACGCGCGTCAGTTGTTCCTTGTTGGGATGGCAGTCATTGATCGGAACTGCAATGTATTTTTTGCTGACCGCGCTCGTGCTCGTAAATAATTCTGCTCTCCTTCATCACATTTTACTCATTGGGAGCATATACAGTCAACAGCAACCCATCTCGTTAGGTAGAACGCTTAAAAAATCACGGATGATGCAATTTCTGTGGTGCAAAAGCTCGACGCACTTCACTACACTAAAACATGCTCGCTACCGTAACCCTAAGTCGCGGACGCCAGCTTTTTAAATGTTTGCTTCCTTTTCAAAAGTTTTTCCTCTGTGTTCTCTGTTGTTGTTTTGTTTCTTCTCTTCGCATTCGATGATATCCACTACTGGAGATGTGAACAGATGATTTGTGAGCCAGGGCTTGCACAGAGACTGCAGGGAGGTGTGACTGTTAAAGTCGCGATTTTGTTTTTGGCGTTCTCTTGACTTGAGGGCTCTTGTTTCTATTTTCCTTCATTGAGGAATTACTTATCAGCTACTGTTTCATAACTGATCAGCACTTATCCTTGACACTTTTATCGCGTGAGCTGTCTTTAATGTCCAAGTGATACTAGAACAGAGGATGATTTGCTGGCATTCATCAATCTCTTCATACTAGAGACCACACGTCGGAACTTTTTTTGAAGTCCTCAGAGTTACTTATGGGTGCTATGGATATGTATTCTATCGATATTTCTCTACTTTTATTCAAAGTCTGCTAATTTCATGTCAGTGGGCGTATTTAGCTGCCACCTGGAGCGTATGCGTATTTTCCTGGGGAACAATGACTAATTTTCATCATAACTGGTGGAGAGACCACCATTATAATAGAGCGAAATACACTGCGTCCAAAAGTATACTTCCACCCATAAACTTCACAATATCCCTTCCTACACGACGTTTCCAAAAAAGCCCTAGGTATAAAATGTGGTAATTACCAGTACCAATTTGCATGCCATACTCGAGAACTGACTTTCCCAGAGCAACTTCATACTTTCTTTATCTTTTGAAAATTTCTCACTCTGACAATGTCCCACAGGTATACTTCCACCGCATATTTTCCCATTGCGTCTCATTTTTTTCGGGTAAACTTTCTCATTATCACTACCTTTGACCTTTTCCAGGTTATGGCGAGAAGGTTTTTACTGTCTGACTTTGAAAGGGGGCAGATTATCGCAAAGAAGGCTCAAGGACTGTCGAACCGTCAAATCGCAAAAGAGTTGGGCTGCAGTCGTTATGTTA